TTCCGTGAAAAGCAACTGGAACTGGTGCATCATGATCAATACAAACTGCACCTGAAAACAGAGAGAGAGAGAGAGAGAGAGAGAGAGAAATAATAATAATAAAGTACAGACACCATACAAGCTCGCTCGCAAGAAGATCCAACGATTCTCCCCTCTCCCCCTTACCCCTATACCCACTAACGCATCCATCAATCAAATTTATTTCTTTATTTCCTATTAAAATCTTCTTTCCTTTTCTTATACCTTTATTATTATTATTATTATTATTATTATTTTATATTTTATTCTATCCAGCGAGAGTTAAATCGAACGATTGAAAAAATTTCCATTGAAAATAGAAACCACCACCCACCCACCACCACCACCATTACCACACCATCCCACCCCAACAAATCCAACCACCCACCCACCCACCTACTAAATGGGGGCTCCTAATATCGCTTTTTTATCCTTTTTTTTTTCTTTTTTTTATTATATAAGAAAAAACGGTATAGTAACTTAGAACCAGCACCCCTATTCGCGTATGCTAGCTAGCCTAGGGTAAACCCTAAAAGAAGGGTTATTATTACCCAGATGAACTAAAGGGCACCCAACAACCCCTCCCTCCCTTCCCCCTGCCCGAGAATGCGCATATTTTTTTTCCGATATCGTTTTAGAGAGGGGGAGGCCCTATATTCCCCCCCCGCGCCCCATTGAATGCACGCGCGCACCACGCAAAGGGCAAACGCTTAAATTCTATGACGAACACCAAAGCCTTTGAACACAATAAGGGCGATAGAGAGACGCGGACAAGACGACGATGATGATGATTATGATTATGATTATGATGATTATGATGATTATGATTACGACTATGGTCATTTTTAATGACGATGAAATTAAATGGAAATTAGAATTCGTTATAGCGATTCATTTTTTTTCTATGGAAATTATGTTTTCAACGTCCTATGTCAACACTAAGTGTGTAAAGTATTGTTTGTTATTTGTTTGTTGGTTAAATGTTTTATTTAACGGGGTTTTGTACGTATAAATTGTACGTATCTTTTTGTTTGTTTGTTTTTTAAATGTAACGCGTTCCGTGTGTGTAAATGTAATATAAGTTTTCAAAGATAATTTTCCCCTCCCTCTCTACCTTATCAACCAATAAAGCAAACCCACCCAATTAACCAACCAACCAACCCCCCGTTTTGCTTTTTTTTTTACAAACCATAATACCATTAAATCACATATGAAACAACGTCGCACGTTTTTGGTTTTGTTTTTTGTTTTTTTACGCTGCTGCTTTTGCTTCTGCTGTTGGCTCGTATTTCACTTGACCACGTGCAACGGGTAAAATTATTATTAATTATTAATTATTAATTATTAATTATTATTATTATTACAAATATACGAATAAAAGAAAAATGGAAAGAATTCTTTTTCTTTGTGTTGTTCTTACGCGAGAAACAATTAACCCAACGCGCGTGGACCATTATTTATAATTATTTATTTATAAATCTTTCCAATTTTTCTTTCTTCCTTTTCTTTCTTTCTTCCTTTCTTTCTTTCTCGCGTTAGTTTCTTTCAATTATTAAATATTGTGCGCGTTTCGTTTTGGAATCCGCTCTGCCTCATCTCGGATACATACACACACGTATCCATTTATTTATTTATTCATTTAATTTATTTATTTAATAATCGTTAAGTCTTTCGTTTTTCTTTCGACGAAAAATATTTGAAACACAACAAACCACAATTTCTGTCCAAATAATTACTTCAACTTTTCTTAATTGACACCTTAGTATTGTGATTGACAGCAGATAATTATTAGGTGTCACGTAAAAAATATTAATACGTACAAAAGACAAGAAAAAAAACAACAACATAATCGTATCGGCAAATGTTATGGGGGGGTGGAGGAGAAAAAATAGAGATAAAAGCTGAAGCAAGAAAATAATAATAATACATATTGTTTTCTCTCTCTCTCACTCTCTCTCATTTTTTCTTGATGAATTTTTGTATTAATTAAAATCTCTCTCTCTCTCTTTGTTTAATCATTATCTTTAGTGAAAAAATTGTCTAATTCATCATCGATAATATTTTTCTTATACTTCATCTTCTTACTTTCTTTCTTTCTTTCTCTTCTTTTCATTTCATTTCTTTGTTTTTAATATTTTTCTATATGTTGTCTTTGGTGGACGACACTATGTGCGATCGTTTGGCAGCGACTGTCATCTCGTCGTAATAATTATTAAACGTTAATGCGAATTATAATGTCGCATTTAACGGAATGTAAAATTCTATGAGACGAGTGGACGACGATGACGATGACGATGACGATGACGATGACGATGACGACGACGATAATGATGATAATGATGATCTTTCATATCTCGAAGAAAGAATTAATTGATCAACATGATTATTTTTATTCTTCGAGACGGTG